ACTACTCTAGAGTCATTTGGGTATCTTTTTGAACACAGTTCCTTAAAGCAAATGTTTTGATACTTTTCCAGAAGTTCCCAAACTGGGGTTAGGGTTAGGGTTTGAACAACACCTAGACAATTTGTGATGCATTTGCTGTGCTTTAGGGTGCATTCAAAATGCAGGAAAAGTGTTCTTTTATTGTTTTGTCGACAAACAAATTTGTCCCAATTTTGCAGTTTTAAAAGTGATCAAAACTAAAAAATTCCAAAACACAATTTTTACAAGCTGAATACTATTATATATTGTCAGTTAAAAAGAAGATAAATTGTAGGTTTAGCCATATTTTAGTGGTAATTGTAGTCCTGACCCTCAACAGCACAAAACATGTTTCTATACGCCAGTTCTGTAGCAGGTTGCAATAAAAGAAATACTGGAAAATTAAGAGATTCACAGCAGATACAATTAAAATACTGTTAAGCAATTACCAATCAAAAGTGGTAAAAACTAAAAAATTCCAAAACATGCTAAATTCTATTAATTATTTGCATTAAAAAAATCTATTGTTATATTTTAATTGTAATTGCATTGAACATGGTAAAGTTATATTTGTCAATAAATTAAATTCCAGAAAATGTTTAAGCATTCCTTTAAATAAATCCAGACGAAAACCAAATTTATAGTAACACTCTGCTCTTTGAAAGTGAGATGGAAGCCTCCACACTATAAAAAGGCATCTGAAGAGTTCTTATTTCTTGGGATTTAAAAGGAGTTAATGCATGGAAGACATTACGTAGCAGCTTATATCATCATGGGTAGGGTCAGAGAGCTCTTCAGACTACAAGCAAATGGTCCCTGACCTCCACAAATGACCATAAAAACGTCAGCCAAATACCTGTGATCCAAACTCAAATAAGGCAGTTCACAAATGGAAGTAGATGGGTTTGAAGGAATATTTCTGACAATGGAGGAAAGCTCAGAACTGCCCCCTAAGAAATGAACATCATAGCACATGACAGAAGTTTTATTGTAATCCATGGGGTTTGTTTTCTGGACTTAAATTGATTATATATTATAAATATAACTTTACTCTGTGCCATTCTAATAAGTTTACATTACCAAAAAATGTTTTATGTAAGACTTGTTATCCAATCCATAAATCTTTCTGTTACTTGTTAATGTTTTTTTTATTTCTACTTGTAGAAGACGGGGGTTTTAATTTGCTGTAACAATCAGAAGTTATATCGGTAAATTGCGAGAGTGAGTCAACTCTCGAGAATTAGAATGTGAATAATGACGTAATACTCAACAATCCATTGGCCTAACATTCTTGATGAGCTTAAACTTTGCTAAGATGAAAAGGAGTTGGTCTGGACTGGTTCATTGTACGACTTGCAGCTCCTCTGTGCTGGGAAGGTCCTGGTGCAGACAGAGAAACGAAGAGCTTTTACCTTGCCTTGCATTGCTTAGCAGCTTACGGTGGCCTTAGGCAGCTCTTCCAAGGTAGCGTCGTGCTGCCCTTGGTCTTTAAAAACAGTCTATGCACAGTTTGTCTTCTTGAGGTCCGGGCACAAGGTAAACAAAATTGGAACTTGGTTCATCCTGGCTATAGCTTTGGATATTGCTTGGAGATTCTGGATGTCGACAAAAAGAATGAGTCCAGCTGTCTAATTTTGTTGATCAGGTGAAAAGATTTTCTTGTGTTTTAGGAAGAATATCTTTTACAGAATTCTTTACTTTGCTGACTCACTTTCTCAGCCTGGAATCTTGCAGAAAGTTTAAGTCCTGAGTCGGACTGCTTGCAGTCACGTGGTTATAAAAGTCAATTTTCCAGTTTAGATGGAGAGATTGAGAGAGCCAGTGGTTAACCAGTGTAAATGTGCTGGGTTACAGTTTATATGGGGAAACATATAATATGGGGAGACATATAATCCCAGTTGGTGATTGGCTGAGATGCTATCAGGTTTGACGGTGAAGTAAGTAAAGATCACTTACTGGTAGATCTACTGTACCTTTGGGTGATTGACTGTGCCCTGTGACTTTAAGATCAGGTCCAAATGTGCCTACGGCTCTATGGCTATGGCTAGACATCCTGGCACCAGCAGTAGACATCAGTCATTGGAGTTTAGATCGTCACTGTCCTGGGGAAGATCATTATCAAAAAGATAAACTCACCTCCCTTACTTTCCCACCTGCAAAGATCACTAGGTCATTCTGTGGCTGAGATCACAAAGTGGGGCCTCTTTAGCTACATTCCTGAGCCATCACACAGGCACCAGGCAGCTTGGTCAAGGCACACAAGGATTATTAGAAATCTTTAATAATACTTTATTCTAAGTGAAATAATAGAACTTGTCACCACATATTTTATGGGAAAAA